GTAAAATACTATTGGCTGGAATGTAGTACAAATGTTGTGTAACCGAAAATTTTTGGTGGTGCTCTTGGGGTAGTTTTAACCTTGATACGAGCATATTTTCCAGATTAATCGTTTATCCGGTTTATTGCTTCACAATAAAAGCAATTAGATGAAAACTACAGTTTTTTCCTCTTACTTTATATAATATGCGTTTATGTACAATTCCCTGTACTTTTTTTGGACTCATTTGGACATGGAGTTTTTCAATCACCCCAATAGCACAAACATTATTATCAATGCAAGTAGCGTCAATGACGGACCAAAGAAGATTGGAGCTAATGTATGTCAAAACTCGTATTCGTTCTCGGTTTAAAAATAATGTACTTTATATAACGAATCAAAATTTTTAGGGGTGAAGCCAAGGTATTAAAAATTCATCTTATCGGTGAGTCCGCCAGAAATTATAAAGAGAAGGATTACACTGGGTTTCTGGTTTAATTGTTCACGCGTTTCTAGGAAATGTTTTATCACGGATTCGATAAATATATGAACCACGCTTTCCCGAAAGATGAGGTAAAATTTTAAGTTTATAAACAATGGCTCTCGATATAACGGATATTGCTTAGTACGGAGAATTATAATGGAACTAGTAATGTGAGCGCAATGCCGTAATGGGTCGTATTTGTTTTTACAAAAACTCGATTATATCGTGATCCAGTAATTCAAATTAGATAATTTTGATACCATTCGATTCGTCCCGATGAGATGAATCGAATGGTACCAAAACAATCCAATTCGGATAACTGGATCACAAGATATTTGCGAACATCTGTGATTTAGTGATCCGAATTGGATTATTTTGATACCATTCGATTCGTCTCATCGAGACGAATCGAGTGGTATCAAAATTATCCAATTTGAATTACTGAATCACGATATAATTGAGTTTTTGTAAAAACAAATACGACCAATTATGGCATTGCGCTCACACCACTAAATGGAACCAAATTATGATTTACTATAATATCTGATATATTATGAGGCGGAGATTTTGATATGACGAACATGACCTCCGTTATATCGAGAGTCACTATGTAATAACTATGTTTTGACAACTATTCTGATATTCTTCTGATATAGTTGAACCCCTTAAATTGTTCTGGGAGAGGAAGTGATAAAAAAAATCCGTAAGACATTGTAATCTTTTTCGTTCCATGAATTCTAGATTGTGTATATTATATTCATTTTGGCTTCTTTGGTTTTTTTTTTTTTTTTAATTGCAGAAATAATATAATTATAAATGACGTCCTTGGCGATTACTCATTAACGCTAGTAGATTCACTCGATTCTTTCGTAGTATGGATTATCAAAAATAAGATTAACTATATTTTTGGTAATATGTATTGAAGTGAATATTAAATGGTTAATGTTATGTTTGTGTAGGTTTTTAATGATAAGGCGGGGTTCGAAACCGCCATTCGCAACGTCATCAAACATGTTTCATTTAATGTAAATAGTAAAGTACAAGTATTTGAAGCAAATATTCGTGTATTGGGAGCATTGGTACGCAATACATTTTTATGTTTTTTTTTTAAATGGCTTATGTAGTTTATTTATATTCAATTTAATTTGATCTGATTAGTTGTCTGCGCATTTATTTGCGACAGATCCACGCTTCGGTTTTAAAATTGATGGATACAATAATGAATTATTAGAGTTGGCTTATGATTTAGGCCAAAGACTATTGCCAGCCTTTCAAAATTCAAAAACAGGGATTCCTTATCCAAGAGTGAGTAAAATAAGATAAATTAAATATGAAGAGTTGTAAGATGCCATATTTAACTATAACATTTGATCAAATAAGGTTAATTTGAAATATGGTGTCCCCAAAAGCGAAACGCACGAAACATGTACTGCTGGTGCTGGAACCCTAATTTTAGAATTTGGTGTCCTTAGCAGGCTTGTGAATGATACAAAGTTCGAGGTACATTCTTTTATAATCGCATTTTACGCATTTTATGCTATTTGATACGAAATTTTGAAATGCACATTCATTTCATAGAATGTGGCACGTCGCGCGTTATTTAGTATTTGGAACAGACGAACAGATCTAGACCTTGTTGGAAACGTTATAAATATTCAGACTGGTCAATGGATTCACACTGCTGCTAGCACTGGGGCTGGAATTGATTCATTTTATGAATATTTACTAAAAGCTTATGTGCTTTTTGGAGAAAGCGAATATTTACATATTTTTAACGAAGCATATTCCGCAATTCTCAGGCATGTTCGTGACGAAACTGGTTATTTATATAGGAATGTGAATATATTGAATGGAGGGTTGATGTCTGCCTGGGTGGATAGTTTATCTGCTTATTTTCCTGGCTTACAGGTAAAACCAAGTTATAATATATTTAATATTTTGATGTTTTTAATATTTATTTTTTCGTATACCTAGGTTCTTGCTGGTGATTTGGATAATGCCATTAAATCACACCTACTTTACTACAATATTTGGAGAAAATATCGAGCATTGCCAGAACGATTCAACTTTCATCTAAGAAATGTTGAGATTGCATCATATCCTCTAAGGCCAGAATTTATAGAATCAACCTATTTTCTTTATAGAGTAATGATTATTAACTTTGTGTGACTATAGATTTGTACAGTTTGAGCTTATTTTTTATTAATTTATAATTATCGTCCCATGCAGGCAACGAAAGATCCATTTTATCTTCATGTTGGTGAGATGGTTCTTGAAGATTTACAATCATATGCTCGTGTCGATTGTGGCTTTGCATCTATCAAAGATGTTCTCACCAAGAGGTTAGAAGGTCGCATGGAAAGTTTTACACTTAGTGAAACATTTAAATATTTATATCTATTGTTTGATACCGGTAAATTCGATTATTTGATTAGTTGTTATTACTTGTAATTAATCTACAATTAAACCTTTTTAATTCATATTTTTAGATCATATATTTAATAAGTTAGATGATAATTTTGTTTTTACAACCGGTATGCAATAAATATATATATATATATATATAACCTCTTTGTTCTTGATATCTAAACTCTAAAAAAAATTTTTTTGAATTCCAGAGGCACATATTTTTCCACTGACCGCACAATATTGGAAAAAAACATGGAAACATATGGACAATTTCACATGTAATGCGTATAAAAATTCAAAAAAACTCGCATCATCTATTTTAGAACGTCCTGATGCAGATTTTGCAAGAGAATTGGTCGGATTCGAAGGTTAGTATAGATAAAATTATTCTATTATTGTATCACATAAATTTATTTAGTTCTTTAAATCCTACATATTTTCACAATGATTAAAATGCACACAATATATAGGTTAGGGAATAAATATAATTTATTTTGGGTGCAAATTTTTAACGTATAATTGGTTTAATGTACACAGAATTAACAACTTGTTTGTATCTTGTTTTTGAAGAATTGTCTTTACCACCTTTAGACCCTTATGGTTATTGCGAAGCCCCATATACAGACCCACTTATAATAGACGTAAGCTTTGGAGAATCTTCCCATGAAACAAGTGTGCAAGACGGACAATTAGTAATTCACGTACAATATCGTGGAAAAAATTGAAAATTGATGATTTAGAGAATTAGTTTTTTTTTAAAAAAAAATAAATTTAATTGCTTTTTAGATTTTTATTTATGAAAAAAATTTAAATTTGTTAATTTATAGTATTCAAAAATTTTATATTTCTAAAATCTAGTGTTTAAAATTTTTTGTAAAGATTTTTTTTTCGGAGCAAATTGTCCAGAACGGAACGGAGGACTTCTATGCACTTTGATGACAGGAATTACGCTTCGATACATTTTTATTAAGGTATCAAAAACGTAGTTTTAATTCTAGAAATTTTGATCGGCGACAAATTTTTGAGGGTTAAGTCCTTTTAAGTTATGTATTATCGCTATCGTTATGCAACATATCAGACACCTGATTTGTCACAAATCACAGGGGTAAGGTTTTTTACTATAGTAAATTGCAACAGTAGGCCCTTTTTGAATGCTGTTTTCAAGGGTTTCTTTTTAAGAAACCACGTTTACGAGACATAAGTACCATACGTAGTCTAATAATACATGTACTTTCTTATTTTTATATTTAAAACAAGATATATAATAAATTTAAAAAGAATGCGGCCCTTGAAATTGGGTTTTCGTTTCAGCCTTTTATATATTGTTATTGGTTTTTATAAACTTACCAAGCCCGTTTAAAAGCTACAAGCTACTAGAACCTTTCGAAAAGGTTACAAGCTACGATCACAAGGTACGAGTTCTAATTTAAATAAACTTGTTAAGGTTTAGAAATCTTGCCATTAGAAAGAATTTTAAACTATTTGAACTTGAATTACTACTAATATGATAGTTTAAATCTAATGGGTTAAAACTGATTTTACTAAAACAAAATTTCTTAAAATTCGAACAGGCTAAACCAGAACGATTTTAGTTTTGTATTTTAAAAAAAAAATTTATTATATTAAATATCGTCGGTTGGATTAGTTTAATTTTAGATTAAAATAATGAAATTGAAAAAAATCACTCACGAAAAATTAATTATCTCATGAACCATCTATCAGAATCACATAATTTTGGTACCATTTGATGAAGAGACGAATCTAATGGTACCAAAATTATGTGATTCTGATCGATGTTTCATGAGATAATTAATTTTTCGTGAGTGATTTTCTTTTTTTCAGCACCAAGTCCAAATATCTTAAATAACATATAATCAATAAACTTATAAAACAATATGAATTCAATTAAATAAAAAAGATAAGTATTGACGAAAGTAAATCGCTTGAATATATGAATTAGTGGGTGATCTATATACTGTAAAACAGGTTTTCTTGATTTTCTTCATTTTCTTCATTACTTTAATAATGTACCAACCTTTCAAAGTTTGATTTTACCCAAAGTTCTCGTTCAGACGCGTCAGTGAAACACTTTTTAGACCGTGAATTTGCAAACCTGAAAAGAATGCGACGGAAATAGACAAAATAATGGCTTATGTTCAAGAGCATGTTATTTTATAAGAAGCTAGTTTTTTGTTTTTGATAATTTTTAGCTCGTAGAAACTTCATCAATGATTTTGTCTTAGGAAACGTAATGTACTTTAACTAAGCTTTTAGGTAAAATTTTTAAAAATGTAATTTCGTCGATTTGTGTAATTTGACAAAATTTTAGATGTGACAAATCGGGCGTCTGCTATGTATCCTATACATCGGGTTGATAATGGATATCAGCGTAAAGTGGGATAAAGGGTATAATTATTATAATCAGTATAATTAGTATGAACATTATGCAAAAGAAAGTATATAATAAAGGCTTCGAGCCCTACGAGAACAGTAGTTCGCGCTTATCTAACCGCCTCTTATCGACTAAGCCGTTCGTAGGTTACACGACGTACCAGATTGTCAAGCGACTGACTCGCCGTTTCGACTGTGTCACTATACATCTATATACTGCATTACTGGAATTATTAATAATATATTCAGTACATATCAATATATAATTAACAATTAAACTATACTTCATACTTCATGACTAGCTATATTTTGTTATAAGTAGTTAGCTATTGCTTAAGCCATGGCTAGATACGTAACTTAAACCTTGGATTAAACAAAAAAAAAAAAACTAACATAAGCCATGTTGCATATATAATATTATGGTTTGACCTTGGATACGACTTTTTTTGAGCCAAACTGAGTTGATAATAATGTTTCTAAAAATCCAATTACTAAATTTTACCATTATAATTATGTAGAATTAAAATTGTGATTTTTGTAAAGCAATTTTTATTGATTAAAAATCTTAAGAAGTTTAGAATATAATGTTTAATTCATAAAAATCGGCAAAAGCAACCAAAAAAAACAGAGTTCAGTATAGAAAATGTATTCTTTAAAAGAATTAATAGTGTACAAATAAGATAGTTTAAACTTTTTATTGGTTTACTAGTGTATAACTCGTCATTTACACTGACGGTCTAAATTACATCTAAAATGTATTTAAAACCAAAGTAGGTTCAATGAATTCAAAGCGGTTTTAACAACTCCGAAATGGTTCCTAAACAAAAAATAAAAAGGAACTTTAGTTAAGACGTGAAAGTAGAGATCTTGCAGTTTTAATTTAAAAAATCGATTAACACCTTCGTACGTACCAAACTTTAGACTATCTTCGTAAATACATTGATCATTCCGAAATCAATAATTTATCGAATCAGCAGAATAACCATTCGGTTAATTTTTCATAAGGTGTTCCAGGAATAATGATAACAACTTTAAGATACATCTGTTGTATTTCATCACGTGTAAACAAATAGTCTAAAATCCTCGTGGCAAAACTTTCAGCATCCTGCTTAATCCATTGACAATTGACACATAAAATAGTACAAGATATTTTTGATCTCACAAATAAAAGGAATTTATTTAGCACTTTAATATTGTTATTAAGAATGTTTTTATTTTTTCTTCTTTTCGACTTGTTATCGGTTTTTCTATTTTCTTCTTTTTGACTTGTTATCAGTTTTTCTATTTTTCTTCTTTTTGACTTGTTATCAGTTTTTCTAAAGATGCGTTGCAATGATTGAGAAAAGTATCTACATATGGTTTTAGACAACCATCTTTAAAATTAATATATTGCAATGTTAAACTCGTGTTTTCAGTTCTTCTTCTGGCATGTTGTCAACCTTACACCGTAATTGAAGTATTAAACTCGTGTTTTCAGTTCTTCATCTGGCAAGTTGTCAACCTTATACCATAATCGAAGAACCTAAAGCTTTGTAATTACTAGAAGCTGTGTGAAAACTCTAATCTTCTTAATGTAGAGGTACGTAATATTTGGACAAAACGTATCAATTGTTCTTAGAAATAGTAAGTCTTCTAAAAACTCTTCAGAATTGAGTTTTAGTATTGGTATGGATATTCCTAGCTTTTCGGTTAGCATCAGCTATTTTTTTTAGAGCCGCCTTAGCGTTTAAATTAGAGTTAAAGGTTTTTTTTTATGATGTTTTTCAAAATTAACGTTTGTTGTGAATTTTCTAATCATGATTCACTATTGGCCAATCATCACGTGAAAATCAACATCAGCCAAAATCGTGGCAAAAAAATGTTAAATTGTAATGAGTAAACTTTATTTTGCTTGAAATTTTTAAGTCTGTTAGCGATAAATAACAAGAAACTCAAAATACTGTCCTTTTATATGTTTTTTTTTTCACCTCTTCCCTGAAACTCGAAAGGGTTAGAAATAGCGATAGGCAAATCGTGGTTTCTTCAAAAAACCTTGCGTGTGATGCGGGATTCATTTAACCTATACATAACGAGCTTTAATTCTGATTGGTCAATTATTGAAATGTACAGTTACATATACACTGAATATAACAGCTAACTATGAACGAATTGTTTGCCATGAAAACGAATCGTTAATGGTGTGATATATAAGGTAGAGGGGCGGGAATGAGTAATGTGGCAGAACTGGAATCCAATGATTCTTATACTACTAATCAAGACGAATCGAATAAGATAAAAAACACTCGATTCTGATTAATAGATTGTAAAATAATTGTACAATACTCTGGAATAAGTGATACGTAGTGGATAATTGTCATAATAGGAGAACGTTTAAGCCAGGTACCAGTTAAGGTTACTTTTTTGATTTAGTTATGGTTAACAGGTTATATAGATATCAATAATACAATTTATGCAGCATGCAAATCATTATATGGAGTTTGGAACCGGTTTTGTTTTTCTTATATTAAATCCGATTTTAACATAAGAAAAATAAAACCAGTTTCAAACACTAGCTTTAACAGATTCCCATTTATAGTTAATATTATGTTAATCTGTCAATTCGTTTCAACTGTTAATATTAATAAAAGTTAGGCAAACACAAATCAGTGTATTTTTTTTATTTGATTATATAATTTAATAAATGAAATATTTTGTTTTATATTTAGTATTTAGTTTTTTTTTTTTAATATTAAAGGTGTGTACTTGTGACCCAGATTTTTATTGATAGTATGTTTCAGCTTTATAATTGTATTATAACAATCACAAAAGGCAACTATAAAAAGAATGTACAACTTTAGTCATTGTTTAATTTAAGTAATTTGTCTAAAAGTTTTGCACTAGTTGTCAGATCTAGAACTTGCTTGTGAGTTCTTTATTTAAACATTTTGATTTTTGTATCCATTTACTTATTTATTCTATCAATTGTCTCAGTTTTTATTGATACAAATATATTATGATTACTAGATTTTTAAAGCAATTCACTTATATAGGAAACATTTAACCTTGTACTAAACCTATTAGAGTTTTCTGTTATCCAATTTTCAGTTGATCTGATATTATTATAATCAAGATTAATACTTACAATCAGAGTAACTCTTAAACTGTTATACTCTTATAAAGTTTATATAATTTTAGTATTTTCTTTTATAACCTTATCAGTACCTTGTACATTCTTGTAAGTTTTCTTATACTACCAATTTAATTAGTTCTATATAATATAATTTTATGTTCAGTTTAATTAATAACTAAATTGATGAATTCTTTTATCTAAAGTTCTTGTCTATATAAGTTATTTGCTTCAGATTTCCTTCTCTAGATCAAGATTTTTACAAATAGTATTATTAAAGATCATACTACATTTCTACTTAAGATTTTTAAACAAAGTTTTTTATAGAGTATATACTTTTTAGTTCTATTCATGTGTTATTATATATTTTCAAAATTAGTTTTAGTATAATCAAAATTATAGAGTTACAACCTCAAATATTCTAATTAAGTTACTAAAATAGGATTATTTTTTAAAATTCTACTACTAGTAAGATTTGAATTCTAAATTTATTACTTAAAAGATAACAATCCAATTACTATATTAGAATTATTATTCTTATATTTAGTATTTAGTTTTTATATTAGAGGATATAATAAAGTAAATAAATTGTTATCCTTCTAAGTAGCAAATTAGAAGTTTAAAACCTATTAATATTATCAGTTGGTTTATTAGATTCTAAATTTAATATAATACAATTTACAATTATATTTACAGAATTAATTATTACTAGTAATATATTTTATTATTCTAATTTTATATCATTAATTTTACCTAGTTATCTATATAGCACCTAAGTTCATATTTATACATATTTGTATGCATTTATCTTAACAACTATTTGTAATCAAAATATATTATTAAACTACTATACAAACAAGAATATTTTTAAACTTAATATAATATTCTAGTATTAAAAATACTATTTTTTGTAATTATATCTATATATCTTACTTATATGTTTTACTTAGTTCTGTTTTTTTTTGTCTTCTAACTTAACTATATTTAGTAATACCTTATTTTTTATATTTTTTTATTATTACACAATTACAAAATTAGTTCTATTTAGATATGTTTAATTTTTATAATCTTCTATTTTTAGTATATCTGTTATTAATTTTTTTAAGATATTCTGATAATAGTTTAAGATCTACAATAGATCTATATCTTAAACTAGACCTGTTGCTATTATTAGTATTTTAACTAATCTGTATCTCAAGTTAGGTCTGCTATCATTATTCTTACAGATATTTTAGATCTTAGCATCATATAGTAACTTAATACTATATTTAATCTTTAAAAAAATATTTTTTTTTGCTTTCACTAAGACTATTAGTTATTGATGGCTACTGTCTTTATTATAAATTCAATTATGATTACATAACTTGTACAAGGTTACCTCTATATTACACTAGCAGATAGTGTACTAAGCTTCTATACATCTAATTAGATGCTGTCTAACCTAATCTTAACCTCCCTGTCTGTATGTCTGTCAAGCCATTACACATTTCAAAGTATGTTACCTAACTATAAGACTTTAGGAGGCTCTTTTGCTAACTAACTACTCACATTTAATCTTTGCTAACAGGGCTCACCCTTGTAAAGTTTATCTAAACCCTAGTACTAACTTCATAGCATATTCCTAGTACTTATAGTATACCTTGCTTCTGAACCAAACTCCCAATACAAATAGCCTGATAGGACTATGACCTGTCTCTAATACTCCAGGATCTGCTCTTCAAGGTTCTTTTTTTCCAGTTTAAGACTTCCTGCAGTCTGGTTGGTGATACCTCTCACCTGAAGTTCTTGTCTATCTAATTTCTTCTATATTGGTATCTGTTTTCTAGGTCTAGCTTTTACAGTAATACTGTCAAAGATCTGTGTTACTTCTTTACTCAGGTCTTTCCAAGTGGGCTCCAGTTTTTTCAGTTCATGAATTTACATGACTATGAGAACTTATTTTGTGTTTGCACTATCCGATGCCAGTTTGCATTCCTTTGTATATCTCTAACATTGCA